GTTGGCTATCTATCATCTCATATCCAACGCGCAGTCGTGGAATAATTGTTAAATAACAATAATAACTTTTATTTCTATAGCGCTCTTATCCTATGTTCAAGGTGCTTTACAACACTGTGCAGGGGGACTTTATCAGACTGCCAGTGGCAGTTTACAACCTATAAAGGCGAATTTTAACAGATGCCCCCTTCCCCCAATTCCCAGTAAACAGGCCAGACCACATCATAGTAATCTCATGATGTGGGTTCTTTAACGTCCCCTGCCTAATCACATTATCTAATTAATAGATGCAGGACACGCAACTGTGCTCAAAAGATCCACATCATTTGAACTGTGTTCAGTTATCTTATGGAACACCAAATTCTGCTATCTAATTCACAAGAAGACTCAAGGCAGTCAGTACAGATAATTTCTTATTGTATCTAGGGAGTTCAAGAGTTAACTTGCCTTGTTGCAACAACTAAATCAGCAGTGACTGTAATATCATGTCCTAAGATGTAAAGAGAAGTTATCACATCGCTCCACTGAACCAGTTCCCCTAACGGACCTCCTTTGCCAGCTTCTTCGGCAAAGTGAAGCTTCTTTTCATTTGACAACAGTCCAATATGAATTAGAATCTAAAAGGCAAAGTGATAAAAAATAAGCAAAGAAGAGGGATAACTATTCTAGACCAGGTGACAATGCACAAGTTTGAATTGCACAGCCGTGTTACACCCAGTTCCAGATGGCAGTTGTTTCTTAATACAAGTCTTGGAGTTGTGTCAGTCAAGTACCCAACCTTTAATTGAAAAAATAATTTGAGTGTACCAGTAAAACAATTTCATTTCAGTTTGTCCCTAAATTATTGGTTTAGAGTAACTGTGGCCTTGCAGGACTCCATGCCCAACTTTTTGGTGACTAAAAATGTATCTTAAAGGTAAATAATTACTGCAACAGGTTTCTGTGATGAACTGCTCCAAGCACAACAGTCTGACTAATTTTCAAAAGAGAAACATAATCATTTGTCTCACGTGGCGGTCACACTTCGATTCTGGATTTTGACATTTTGACAGCATACTGCTTGTCTTCTTCAAGTGACTCAAGTCTTCTGACTTGTGTTAGTCAATATGTTACCCAACATAGCACAAGTGCAAACTAATACCTAACAGTAATTCGATTTGAGAGACATGTTTTATGGACAAAATTCTGTCTCAAGTGAACTGTTGCTGCAAACCCTGTGCCAAGTTGCAACAACTTACTACCTCAGGTTTCTTGACTGTATGTAATCAATCAGGCTAAAATCCATTTACCTTTTTTTTAACTGTTTGTGAGAAATCTCTCTTGCTTTTTAAGGCTGAAAATGCTGCCTGCCAATGGGGCCACATCTGCACAATCCTCGCCTTAATCCAACGAAATTTCAGACTGTTTTCATCCCTTAAGAGATTAAGAAGGCTTTGTACATTTGTCCTTGAGATATCCTGCCGGCAGAATTAAACGAAAAAAACTCACATGTTAACCAGGTGACCCAGTCTGCACTTCTATTATTCAGTTTTAATTAAAAAAAAGGTGATGATAATTTCATAAGGCTCCCCTAACCCTCTCACTTTCAGATATGACCAAAAATGAATTTCTCCTTA